TTTGTTTATTTGTTTGTTTTGAGACAGGGTCTCACTATATAGTTGAGACGGACCAGGAACTCACTATATAGCTCAGGCTGGTCTCAAACTCACAGCGATCCTCCTGCCTCATCCTCCTGAGTGCTGGGATTACAGGCATGCACCACCACACCCGGCTATTTTGGATTACTTTTGCTGCCATTTATTCTGACACCATTTACAAAACAAAAAGACACTTCAATTTAAATTTTTTCTTCTGCCTTTTAAAACTTTATTGGATGAGGTCCATATTACAATTGATGTAAATTCACTTTTACTTATTTTGAATGGGAGCACAGGGCAGTTATTTATACATAGTTCTCTTCCCCACATATATATATTTTTAACTAATATTCAGCAACTGAGGAGGCACCAAGCTTCTGCCGTATAACTGTGTTCCCAAATAATTATTGCATGCATTCAGGTTTGAAACTCTAAGCCAATGGCTCTCCATTGAGCTTGCACATACTCCCAGCTAGGATCGGTAAGTAAGGCACAGCTATGGTGGAAACCCACTGGAGAAAAATCCTCTAAGAGCAAGACTGTGTCTTAGTTAATCTACATGTAACCAGGGGCCTAATAAATGTCTTGCCAAAATTAATGGCTTTATCATCAGACCCAGAATGGCATCACCATATGATATGGCTTGCTATAACATGAATTATAAGTGGCTAACTGAATTTTAGGACTTCAATTCTGAAATACCTTCCTCAATTATGTACTAAGGCAGATGCTTAACATGGAAAGGTAAACTACAGTAACCATGAATGACCCACAGTGACCTTGACTTAGAGCTAACAGTAGCCTTTTCTTTATGAAATAATAGCTTATAAGGTGAAATCAAACAAATAACTAATAATTTTGAAGATATAAAAGCTTTATATTAAGAAGAGAACTGTTACCTAATCAATATTGTTCCACAGAACAAAGTATACTGATCATAGGAAATAAAAACTAAAATCTACAAAACTATAAATTTACAGGAACTCAAACTGAATTCACATGTGTTAGCCATTCTTTAGAATACTTTCAATGTGACAATACAAGTCATGTGTGGCCCTTTCTCTCTTGCAACCTCTTTGACTAAGGTAAATAAAATATCATCTTTATCATAACCTGACATAAAAGAATAGTGCTTCAAATTTCAAAAATTCACTCATAAGAATATTTAGATTTTAATTCATTTAAATCTTATTGGGAAGGTCTGGGGATTTAGCTCAGCAGTTCGGTGGCCTGCCTTGTAAGTGCAAGGACCTGAGTTCAATCCCCAGTACCAAAAAAAAAAAAAAAAAAAAAAAAAAAAATCATATGGGGAAAAAACTCAGACTAGATCTAGGGAGCTTGAGACTGTAATTGGACTATGATATATACAATTTAATTTATATCATCTATGTATCACAGATATGCCATTGTTTTTCCTAAGGGGCTTATAACATGCTATTTGTGAAAATATCTTCTATAATTCTCCTACAAGTTTCTTCTGCCTAAAACTTTGGAAAATGGCTAATATAGTAATACCTAGGGCTGCCACACAGATATGATTTATATTTGCAATCATAAAACATTGTATCTAGTCAACTGAATTTTAAGCAGCTGAATGCTAGTCAGAAAATTTTATCCCACTTAGGAATAGGTTCACACTGACAGAGTATATTTCCCTTGTGACTCCAGACACTGTCAGCAAGGAAAGGCTTTTAGTTGCTCCCAGTCTGAACTTGAATCTCTAAAAAAAAAGGTACTTACTAAAACTATTATCTGAGTCGCTTAAGATATATGGCCCTGACTACCAGTACTTTCTCCATTTTTCACTGCAAATATGAACAGATAAGATCTATTTCTCTCCCAGAAAATCTTGGAATGTTTCCTAAAATGGGAAAAACTAAAACAGAGAAAGAAAATCAGTTATCTTTCAATGTTTGTTGGGAGAAGGGATTCATTTCTGTGAGCTGATTTTTAAATATTCCCATCACAACAGCTTCTCAAAAACAACAAAACAACAACAACAACAACAACACACACACACACACACACACACATTTTCTCCATGGTGTTAATTTTATAAGGAAATCCTGATGTTTGATGGAGATGAGAGAATAAGCACTATTTCATTTATATTTATCTTTTGATACACTTTTCTAGCTGTTGATAGAAAACTGATTTTTTCCATCAAGTAGACCGAAAATACTTTAAAATTTGATATTTTAAAATAAATCTCTTAAAGCTATAGATTTTTTTATTTTAGAAGCTCAGGAAAGCTTTATGACTTACTAGCTAGAGAGTAATTTATTTACCGGTGATAGCCAGGTCTCTAACAAGAAACAGGCACAAATGAAACAATATGAGATGACACTAAAGATTAAATGGATATTCTATTCCTTTCTTCTCCCATTTCCCCTTCCCCCTTTTCCCTTTTCTTCCTACTTCATGTTATAAAAATGTGCCAATAAAATGAATTTTCAAAAAGTAATATTCTGTCTTTTTTGTTGAGTATTTGGGAGTTGGCTATTCAAAAACTACTTTGAATTAATAATGTCTTATAGTACAGTCAATCTTCAAAAACTTCCTAGAGTCTTATATAATGTGACTTTCAAAAAACATACACTGAGATTACTTTAGTATGAGGCTGTGGTACTTGGAAGAAGGTAAATGACTCTCAAGACTGAAAAAATGTCCAGATTAATAGCAGAATTAGAGCACAGTGTATGCGAACCATAATAAAGAGCCTAAATACCATGACTGTCATTAGAATAAGAAAAAATACAAACAGGCATACATCATTTTCCTTTATGGTTTCAGTCAGATTCAGGTAGACTTAAACTGTGTGCACATCTGTGATCAGTTTCTGATATGAATCTTCCTTCCTTGTCTGTAGGATAACCTGGAAATCACCTCAGCAGGAGCTTCTGAATTGAGATATTTGTTGTGAAGTATCAGCTAAGACAATGTTTTTGAAAAAAATAAAAATGAATCAAAATAAAAGTAAGTTATTTGATATAAACAATGTTTTAAAAAATAAAATTTATTGATTTATAAAGAATTTTTTTCAAATATTGTTTAATGGTCTTTATTTAGAATAGCTATAACTAAAAAGAAAATTTACTCTATTAACTTTCTTATTAATTTCATGGTAAAATACATACTTTATTGTGTAAAAATTCAGAATTTATTAAATCAGCTTTTCCCTAACTTCAAAATTGATGTTTAGTATTTAATATTGCCATTTTCTTCCACAGTGAATTTTTAATTTAAAATTTATCATCTTGAAAACAAGTGGGTAGAACATACTTAACATTGAATTTTTATCTTATATATAAATGAGTAGCTAAAAAAGTTTGATTTCATTTCCAGTTTTTCATTTTTACATTGTATTACCTTAAAATTATTTGTCCTAAATCATCTTTATTCCCTTCATTTGTATGATGTATATAATTATGGCACTTACTTCATGGAGTTTTATTTTAATTTAGAAAATGAAATTACATAATTCATCTAAGGCACCTAATATAGAGCCCTTTAAGGGTGGAGAGTTACTAAGTTGTAACTACTACTAGTAGTGTTGCTACTGGAATTACAGCTCCTATTTTTACTGTCAGCCCTAGCATTAGCACTTAACACTGAGTGCTTGCTTTGTACCCAGAGAAGATCCATGTCTCACTGTATATGCATAATAGCATTTGATATGTAAATTGGTTAAAAATAAGGGATTGCAGGTTTTAAAAATGTAAAAATATTCAGAAACCGAATAACTAAACAGTGAGAAAACTGGGACACACTACTAGACAACCTTAGTACAAATGCTTTAGCCATAGGAATACCATAGCCCAAAGAAGGCTATTTTTATACACACTCTGTAAATGTTTATCATTTTCTTAAGATTCATTTATTAGAAATAATTATTGAAAGACTTAGTAGACTAAACTTTTGCATATAACTTTCTCTATCCATGGAACATTTGCCAGGCAATTTTTTTTAAAGTTATAATGGACTAGGACTTCAAACATGCATTTAAGAGAAATGATAAAGAATGTAAGAAAATGAGAGATAATGAAAATTCTATACTTGTTGATCTCTGCCTCTTTTGAAGATACTGATTACAATTTTTTAAACCATTATTCAATATGAATGAATAGACAACCTGTAACCCAGAAAACATTAGTTTTGTTTTATCTAAATCACTCTTAAGGCAATTTTCAAAGCCTTTCTTTCATCTTATTGTATAATTGTCTCTGGGTAACAAGGTACAACCACCATTGTCTAACACAAGGTGTTGCTGGGGTGCCTCCCTCATTAGGAGTTGAAGAAAACTCCATCTTGAATGCAGAGATTAACAAAGAAACTCCTTGCTCCCAACATTGTGAAACAAATGATGCTAGGGGGGTATTTTTTTTTTTTTCCTACAACGAAATTTTAGAAGAAAGAGTATCTGAGCAAACTTTGAGGTTAAGAATTACAAATCCTCTAGAATGAAAGTGAGGTCTGATAACATTCAATCTCTGCATTAACTCAAAAATAGCAACATATATTTCCTGTTGAAACTTGGAGAATGATTTAAGGTTTGGCATAGATGATGATTACATGGTGTTTTGGGACAACAAAATGATGGTTTTATATTACTGTTATACTACTTGAATTATAAATAAACCGAATATAAAGCAATAAAAATTGATGGCTCTTTTGTAATGGCTAAACATTCCTAAAAATATTTTGAAAACTGGTCATCATTTACCCCAATAAATTCCAGGATGTGCTAAATTAGATATAGCGTATACTAAGAATTATCTGAGAATCTGTTTGCACAACTGGTTTATGAGACATTGTCATTTAATTTTGACATTAGAAAGATTCTTATGTTCCAGCAGGATATGTCTAGTAGAATATTTGGCATTAAAAAAGAAAATAAAAGTCCTCATAATGTCTAATATCTATAAAAAGTAAACATTCTGGTCATATACAATTCTTTTTTCCTATTATAAGTGATTCCATCATTTATTTTTGTATAACATAGCTCATTTTATTTTGCATATATTTTGTGATAAGGTAATTTTCAGTTACCGTGTCACAGAATCTTTCAATCACATTAAACATTCATCAGCAACATGGCTTTCTGGGCACATATAGCCTGATTGTGTATCTTATGTCCTTTTATATTAACCTTACATCTTATTGTTGTTGGACATATATTAATAAATACATACACACATGTAATATGCTGTCATAAATATCTTCAGATTGTCATATTTAAGTCTATTTTGAACAATCTTCCTAGACTGAATTTCTAGGAAGAACATTGCAGGGGTTATACATCCTGATATGCTAGGTTTTCATTAATTAGAAGTAAATACTCCGTAAAACATGCATACAATTTAATTCAGAAGACTTGGTCCTCCTTGCTTGTTTCTACTCAGCTTCTTGAATATGGACTAAATTGAAAAGGGTACAGTACTATATCTATTTTTCTGTTGTCCCAGATACATTTGAATACATAACAGAAAAGGATGTACCAAAGCTGGCAAAAAGCCTTTTAAATTATTCTCTTTTATTCTATTCTGTCTTTATCACTTTAATTTTTTCTACCTTCCTCTTTTGCTCCTTTACAGCTTTTCTGTTTTGGTTCTTTACACATTTATTTTCACAATATTTTGTAATATTTATTGAAAAATATAATGTTTAGGTCTTTGTAGGTTATAAAAATGAATAATTCCTGCCTTCAAAATTCTGCTTGTCTAATATTTAGGAAAAATAGACTTAGATGTACATGTTTAATTAAGTATATTGAGGGTAGAAAGTGATTAGTGTTCCACATATGCATCTCTCCCACTTATTTTATGAACGCTTTTCTTACCTTTAATAATGTGTTCAGACAGGAGTGATAGTTTTAGTGAAAACTCCTTCAAATATCTAGTAACTATATAAAGAGACTGTAGCTTCCTAATAATTAAGTCTTCTAAAAATATAGTCAAACTATCTTTGGCTAACACTTGTTTTTCTTATTCCTCATCTTGTCAATCATCTTCAGTGAGCATACAGTGTTAACAAGGGTACCAAAATTTCCATTCAGAAACTGATTTCATTAAAATGTCACTGCACTGGTTCTGGCCCATTCTATATCAGATAATTTAATCCTCTGTGGAATTACAAAATAAAAGAGTAGCACTACGGCTTAGGTCCAAACTATCCCCCCAAATTCTCACCTATTCAGGGGTAGAGCATTTGACACATTGGCTCCCTGGGGCTCAGCGGAACGTGCTGCTAGGAGGAAGGGCATGTTTGGAGGCTGTCACGGGGCCGGAACCTGGCAGGGTTCCTGTCTGTCGCTCTCTCCTTGGCTCTCTGCCACCTGGCTGCGAAGGGTGAGTAGCTGCCCTCTGCCAGGCCCCTCTTCTTTAGCACCCGTGGACTATGGACTGAACCCCCTGGGAATAAACTCTCCTCTCTCAATTTGCAGGGGAAGGCTATTTTGTCCCAGTAAAAGGAAAATGACTAATACAAATACAAACATTTCTCCGAAACACTGTATCCAATCAGCAAGCACACAACAGGAGAATTAATATTCCTCAATCCGACATGTTAATTTTTCCTAACTGAACAAATGTGGACTCCACAGTTCTCAGTATCTAAATCATATATGATAATTCAGTCACTTAAGGCAAAAAATTAACACTGTCTCAAAGGCTATTATGCGAAATCATTGTGTCAAACTTCTTAGATAAATATTGTTCCCGTTTCTAACAGTTAACAACTGAAATACAGAAAACTCTGTAATAGTTCATGCAGTTAATAAATGTGAGAAAATTAAGTCAATCAGTCACAAGACATGGGCTAGTGTCACCGTCATCGGGGAAAACAGAACTCATTTCTGGGAAGCTTGAATCATTGCAGGATTAAAAAGGAACAGTTTACTGTAATGACTGTTTTATTAAATTTAGTTTTAATAAATTCATTTAATTCCTTGTAGAGGTTTCTAAAACACTACCAAACATACAATGTTTTTATTAGTTACAAGAAACACAGAAATAAATATGACTGTACTAGAAATTATATATATATATATATATACATATATATATATATATATATATGCACACACATATATTGCTAGCTGC